GCAAAGAGTAAAGTTGAAGGTGAATGGGAATGAAAATGGATTGGAAATAAAATGTTTAACTTGATTTCAATTTTGCTCTCAGGTAAAATGAATATTGAATCTGGAATCATATTATTACATATGTTTTTCAACAATTAACTTTACTCAACAAAAATGCTCTTCACTTTCAACATCTTTATCAACCCTTGTTTATCCTTCATCATCAGTCTTTCCTTTCCTTTACTTTTCATCATTTTCTTCTTCTTTTTTTTTGTCTTTTCTTATTCATTCATTCATTCATCGCGTTCCTTTCTTTTCATACTTTCTACTCTTAGACTTTGCTTATTCTACCCTTGAGCATTATTATCTTGATTATAATGATAATAATGATAATAATAATGATGATGAAGAAAATGTAATGATAATCAGGTTGACTGGAAGATGAAAATGCGTTATCATTAACAACATCCAAGAAACTCAAATACGATTAGGAAACTTTCCTCTTCACCATCACCATCTTTTTCATCACCTTTTCACTCCCAGTCTCTGGTGGCAACTTGCTATATTCAGTGATAATTACACACATAAATGTTACAATTGCGATTTTTAATCATAAAGATTGGATAAGAGAATGAAAAATAATGAAATAATCACTGCTTTCATCATTTAGTTGGTCTACTTTTTTCGTCATCATTTTTCCATTAAATTCCGAGGGTTCTGATTGATCATTTTTTGCTCTATTTACAAATCATCTTGATGTATCATATTTGTGAAACAATTATTAATGTTAGTCAAATGTTGGTCAATCCGCATCGTTTGAGCGATACTTTATTGTTTAGTCGGTTCCTTCCAATTGATTAAGGAATAAAAATTTTCAATACAATCTTGATGTTAACGGGGTTTGGAAAAAACCTTTAATGACACATGAGTCCAATCAGGGTCAAACATGAACTTGAGATCGATAAGCGACGAGTTGGGTGATTTTTGGATAGGCTGGCTTTCAATTTTCATGCATGTTCTATCTTACCGTTATATCACCGCCAGGATGTTGGACGAAAAATTGACATTCTGGAGCAGTTTGTGCTCTCGAAAAAATCTTTACCTTAGCCATACGGCGAGTCCGAGCTTTTTGAACGCTTTTGAAAAATGAAACTTCATGTGAAATCCAATGGCTCAAGGACGCGAGAAAAATGTCAGATGACCTCTAAAGGTCGGGTGGTGAAATTTCCAAAAAATAACTTTGAATGACCTTGAGCTTAGTATCAAAAAATGCTTAAAAATTTTAAGGATCACTGAGTTATTCTAGAAAGAAAACTGTTTTAGCACTAACGCCCTGAATATACAAATATATGATTCTGTATCTCTTGAACATAACATCAAAGGAGTGAAAATTTATTTTACTTTTTGATCTGACTTTTAGTTGTTGATTCATTTTTCGTTTACCCTCGTAATGATTTCCATCCTTCATCAACTTATTGATGACCTGGAAGATAAAATATCGTTAAGACTTGCAACATCGTCTAGACTGCACTTTCTTATGTGATAAACTGATTTCTGTTAACCCATTGGCGGCGTTTACGTGATTTATTTTAATAAACAGTAAACGATTCTTTTTTTTCTTACTTTTGTCTTTTCACGATTTCAAGATAATTTTTTTCTCCACTCATTCAATACTAGAATAAAGTTTGATAATAAAACAGAAGGAGAAGAAAAGGAATAAAAGATGAAGAAAATCACATTTTTTTATTCTCCATGTTCATCCAAAGAAACAAATAGTTACAGTGAAACAAACAAAATGAACGTTTCTTTTTCTCTTGCCATCATTATCATGTAACTCTTGATTCCATTTATATACATTTCCTTCTCATGCCCATTTACCTTGCAGTAGATCAATTATCATTACAATCGCAACCAATCGAACAGTTTTACGGTCCAAAGTCAATATTAATCCAAGGTAAATCTTCCAATATTTGACGCTCAGTCTGCAATTCTCATCGTTTCATGAATCAATTTTTTGTCTTTCAACTTTAGTTCCAAGTCATTATCAACTTTTTTCATCAACAAAATGTTCGGATGTTTGAAATAATTACATTTACCATTTGTTTTTGTGTGCTCAGCATTTCATTCAACTCTTTCATCTTTAAATTGTTTCCAACGATATCAGTTTAAAGCTGAAAAATGAATCTCAATTTTAATGTTTATTCAATGACATTAAATCGCATCATTTTGTGCTCTTTTTTGCTTGTGGTAATCAACATTAGAATCAACAATATTATCAGCAAATGAATGAAACTTCTTGTTCTGCAAACATGAGGAAAAAAAGAAGAGGAAAAAGAGGAAAAAACAAAAATCTAAATAATTCAACTCTAATAGTGATATTTATTTATTTATTCAAAATTATTCAGACTTTTTTGCTTCTTCTTTCCCTTAGTGAAGCTTTTGTTTTTCACCCTTTCACTGTTTCCATCCATTTCTAACAAATTGCCTGATTACATTTGAATAGTGGTCGAACTTTGTTTCTCTTCAATTGTTATCTCTTTCACTTTCCAAGGATAAATTCATGATACATTCATGTTTATAAATATATAAATAAATATAAAGAAGAAGAAGAAGAAGAAGAAACATTAATAAGAGGAGCGACAAAATTTCATTATTCCGTCATGAATATTGGCTCATCAATGAACAATGTAACAATTTTTTGTTTCATTTTCAATATAAAACTCCATTCATGTAACATTAAACCATTTATTGTCTGATTCATCGTTCTGATTCCATTTTTCATGTGTTTAGTTGATTGTAAATTTTGTTGCTTTGTCTTTGCCAGTACTTATTCACTTTGAAAGGTCAGAAAAAAAAGACTTTGATTTTCAAATTTTATCCAAATTCTCATCATTTATTGCTGCCTTTAACCAGAATCGATAATTTTATTCATCAAAGTATTTTTTTATTTCAGGGTAAAAAGGTTATTCTTTAATTTCCAGACTATTTTAGACTCTCATTTGGAATTGTTTTTAAATTGAATTGAAATTCGTTATGAAAATTGAGGAATTGTTTGACTGGGAAAAAAGTTTCTTTTGTTTTCCGAGCTTTTTTCTGAAAATTAAAGCGAAAATTGTCGTTAGATGAATTCAGATTCAGTGAATTTCGTTTGTAAACATGAATATTGGGAAATTTTTTCGTCTTTCATTCTACTTGAAATCATCATGAAAAGAATTGCTATTTTGACAGAAAACTTAGTTTTCATAAGCTTTTACTTTTTCCTTCTCATTTCTACACATCATTATGAGTTTCAACTATTTTGCTCTTTATTCACATTTATATCATATCGCATTCATCTCTGGTATAAACATTATTTTCACTGTTTTATCTTGCAGCTTTTCAATCATTGAGGTGATACAAAACCTGTCAATGTGAAACTGTGTTTCCGTTTCGATTGAATCCAATGGAAAAGAGTAAAAAGCATATCTGATTTAATGTCTTCTCTTTTCCCTTTTACTGACAAAACAGTTGTAAAAATAATGAACCCGAGTTTTGATTAAAAAAAGTATGCTTACAAATTCATAGCAAATGAAAAACATCTAGAAAAGTTGAAAGTGTTAGATTGATTAATGTGGAAACTTGCAATTGCTAAATATTGTAACTTATGATCTGACGTGCAACTGCAAGTCCATTCAATAAGCGACAGTTTCGCTGGTTATCGCGATTACCTAGACAAATCAATCCATCAACTGACAAGATACGAGACAGAGTGAACATGAGCATTCCAAAGTAAACTTTTAAAGTTGATTCTCGTCATCGCCAAGGATTGTCGTTGAACTGTTTCCTCCAAAATTGCGCGTAAATTACTGAGCAAATATCAAAGATCTCTTAGTGAATATTCAGATTGCTTATAGACTTAAGTGATTGTTTTGTTCAAAGACTCAAGCATTGTGAGTTGAACAGACGAAGCGATATGAGATTTAGCATTTACTAATGAAGAGTTCATTAGTAGCTGCTGGTGAGTTTCATGAAATAACCTTGAATGCAAATGAAATTCGTTCAATTTTTACTTTGAATAAAATTGTTCATTGCTTTTGATCGTTCTGACAAAATTGTCTTTAAAATGATAATCACAATGAAATTGAATTAAATGTACAAAAATAGAATGGCAAATGTATTGCAATTGAATTTTACCTTCCCAGTCATCCATTTTATCCTGAAGCAACATTATCCATAATTATAACAATCATTATTGGAAGGGAAAAGATTTGGCAAAAGTGAAAATTGCGAGTAAATTAACTTGAAATTAACTGAATGATTTGGTTGGAAGCAAGTGGTTTACCATGAAAATGCGAGTTCAACTTTTTCTCTTTCCAATGAACATTTTCTTTTCTTCAACTCTAATTCAATTTAAATGCCATTATAGCATCATTTATGTCCAATTTAATTTTACTTTTCATGTTTCAATTTTTCATGATAACTTTCATTATTCATTGGGAGGTAAAAATAACAGGAAGAAAACGAAGAAAAGTTTACAAAATTTATAAACTATTATCATAATGATTATCATCTAAAAATATATTAAATAGTTGAACCTCACAGAACTAATGAATAAACTTGAAAATGAAATATAAACACTTGAGTATAGCAACAAGATTTTGGTGCTTTTTGTGCTCATAGTTAATTAACTGTTACAATTAATGCTGTTGATTGTATTATAATTAGCGATAATTATTGATTGAGATAATCCATTTTTACGGGCTAAAAATAGCGCTTCAATAAAAGTAGAGAAAATTTATTTTATGTTGCAAGTTCGCAGTTCATTACCAACACCAATTAACCAGCAGTAAATTATCAATTGTAAACAATCAAACATCAAAATAAGAATAATCAATCAACATTTTACCATGAAAAGAAGGTGAAAAAATGAGCAAAATTTCTTTTCTCTTTCATTCTTGTTACAACATGGAAAATTAATGGAATAAAAAAGGAGCAAAAAATAACTTTAAATTTGTGTTTATTTTTCTTCTCATCTGTTGCAGTCTAAACCACCGTCTGAGAGTTTCCAGTTTCATCATGAACTTGAACTTTTCCTGGGAAAAAGTGAGCCAAGAGAGCTGCGGCAGTTGCAATTAAGTAAGTTTAATCAAAGAGCCTCAATCAATTCAACTGAATCAGTCTTTTCATTAATTTGTTGCAGATTCAATGAGTATCAAGTAACAAGAGAGAAGAAGAAAAAAGTTCGTAAAAAATCGTAAAAAGTTCAATTGTGATTAGTCGAAAGATGACGACAGCATTAACAATCGATGTAACTGATGCCTACACATTGTCCAATAGTAATACTTCAATCTATTTAAATGTATCCAAATCATCGTCTAAACTGGTCGCCGAGTCACTCACTTCATCTTCATTATCATCCATTAAATCATCCTTTTCATCTCTAATATCATCTGTAACTTCAAACTACAAACATGACAATCAAAGTGAACCCGTGATAATAAATTCTGGCGCTAATGTTTATAACAATTTAAATGATTTAACTTCTAGTAACTTAACCAATAGTCAAACTAATTTTGTTAACAATGCTGTTGTCCCGGAATCAGCAATCTTGAGCCTTCTTCCAGTCACACTTTCCTCAGCCTCAGCCTCACTCTCATCGGGTTCACCCTCGTCTCTGGCATCACCCTTCAACCTAAACACAACCCTACTGGTTGAACCCTATGAAGACCAAGGGATTGGACTGGTAGTCAATGTAACCAAAGACTATCCACTCGAGTATGCCATTATCATGTTTGGTTACATAATGCCTTTCCTACTGATTGTAACCCTCATCACCAACAGCCTGGTAGTCATTGTGCTAGCCCAACGAGAGATGAGAACCCCGACCAACCTGGTTCTCCTGGCCATGGCCATATCGGACATGTTGACCCTTCTCTTTCCCTCTCCCTGGTATTTTTACAATTACACTCTCGGCTATCACAGCAAGATACTTCATCCTCCGGTTGCCTGTTATGCTTACCATTGTATGATTGAAGTGATTCCCGCCTTTTTTCACACCGCATCCATCTGGTTGACTCTTGTCCTTGCTGGTCAAAGGTACATTTATGTTTGCCATCCAACGGTTGCACCCAAATACTGTACACCGCCCAAAGTGGCCCGTGCCATTGTTACCGTTTTCGTTTTAAGCCTGATTGTACAAGCATCAAGGTTTGCCGATCGCGACTTTCAAGAGGTAACCCTTGACTCTGATTCTGGTCCCGTCTATGGTTGCCGTTTTTTCACCGCCACCTGGGTTAAGCGACTCTTTTCCGAAGATGCCTATTACATCTTCTATTATAGTTTTCGAATTATTTTTGTCAACATTGGCCCTTGTACGGCCCTTGTAATCCTTAATTTGGCCCTGTTTCGGGCACTTCGTCGAGCCCAGCACAAGAGGAAAAAGTTGTTTCAAGAGAATCGCCGGTCCGAGTGTAAAAAGTTGTGCGACACCAATTGTACCACTCTCATGTTGATTGTGGTCGTCTCCGTTTTCCTGGCCACTGAGATTCCCATGGCCATAACAACAGTTTCCCATGTGATACAAAATTCACTCGATATTCACATTGCCTCATATGAATATCTCAATTTGACAATATTGTTTAGCAATTTTCTCATTATGCTCAGTTACCCGTTCAACTTTGCCATCTACTGTGGCATGTCCAGACAGTTTAGGGAAACATTTAAAGCACTTTTCATCCCAGGTGGACGCTCAGCTCTCTCTGATAGATCAAGGCAAACCAGGGAAGGTTCAACGAGATATTCAGTTGCCAATGGACCGCGAACATCTACCAATGAAACTGTCCTTTGACCTGAAATCACTGTCTTTCCTTTTTATTTTTGCTTTCACCTTTTTCGGCTTATCAAATGTTTTCCTTTTTTCCTTTTTTCCTTCTTTCCAATTTCAATTGTGACCACAAAATTAATCAAATATAAACGATAAATGAAACTCTTTTATTCACTATTATTGTATTAAATACTTGTCTTGTGTTATTAAATGTTGCTTATAATTATAAATCAAAATGTCGATCAACAATGCACAACAAAAAAGACTAAAATTAAATATCTAAATTGTACACAATTTGATAATTTCAATTGTTTTCCAACCATCAATTTAACCGTTTACGTTTAAATGGTTGACATCAAATTGAAAACCTTTTTTACATCTTTAAAGGTTTACTTTGTCTAATTGTGATTAAATTGAAGTAAATTGTTGATTAATTTCATTATTTAATTTTGAATTTTGCTGGTTAACCCAAATGGTTTGTATCAAGGATAAGTGATGGCACTGCAAACGCTTTATATTTTTCCCACCAAAAGATGAACCATTGAAGGGTCAAATGAAAGAGGTGAGCTGAAGATGAGTTTGGATGATTGTTGTGATGATGGTCATGATGATGGAAAGGTAAATAGAAAGGGAAAAAGTGAGAGTGAAAATAGTCAGTCTCAATGAGTTTATTTTCATTTGAGACGAAGTGAAGAGAAATAGAAAGGGAAGCAAGTTTATCTTTCTTCCATCGTCTTCTTTCAACTGTACTTCTCACTTTCGTTTACCAGTTTCTTTCCTCTTCTCTCTCTCTCTCTCTCTCTCTCTCTCTTTCTCTCTCTTTCTCTCATTTTCATCCTCATCCTTGCTCTCAACATTTACATCAACATCAAAAAATATCATCTTCATCCTCATCCTCATCATCATGATCATTTTGTGAAGTTTTATTTTTCATCGCCATCTCCTCAATGGAAGCTGTTGATGAGTATTCTTATGGCCAATTTTACATTTCAAATGGTTTTATCCCACGAATCTCATCATTTTCATTATTTTCTAGATCAATCTTCACATTTAACAACAATATGATCTCTCTTTCAGTCAATTAAACTCAACCAACGGATGTTAATTATCAACATCAGTGATACTTGTGTACTTCAGTGTTTGTGTGTTTATTTTCAACCAAATTCATGTACCTTACAAAACGGATAAAACACTTTGATTATGTAGCCTCAAAAATAACTGTGTAAACCTGGTTAGACAAAAATTAATCTCAACAACTGTTCCATGTTTAACCGTTCATCAATGCTCTTTCACTGATGGAATAATTGAAAAATTGATTTGCGGCTTGGGAAAATAAAGAAGCAGTTTGTTTATTTACAAATAAAAGCCAACACCATATACATATAATGGATCGACAATTTAATTTTAATCTAGTGAATTGATTTTGGTTCAGGTGTTTAATATTTGTGTAAAATTAAAGCACAAATATCATATAACACACCAAAAAAAGAAAGATACATGATACAAAGGTTTTACAAACATCAACCACCATTATGATAAAACCCTTTACCCATTGGATTACTTTAATTATTGTCTACTTCATTTTTCCTGAAAAAACAGGTGAGTTTAATCATTTGCAATTTAATGGGGGAAAAAAGACTTTCTCATTACTAAATCGGGTTGGCAAACCAAAAATAGAAAAGATAAAACCAGATAAAGCTTTACCATTACCAGCCAATGGGTCATCATTTCAATAATTGTCTAGACAATGGTTGGATTTGATTGAACTTATAACAATCCTTATCTAACACTTTTTGTCGCTTTTTTCCAGACAACTTGCCAGACTAGAGATTTGCCAATGCAGCAAATCTTGAATAAACAGTCAGTTATTAATTTTTGCCTTTTCTTTTTCTTTTCATGTTTTATTTAAAAATTGAAAGGATCCACAAGCCAACCTGAGCCTGAGCGAGTAACCGCCAATGTCGGTGAAAATGTGATTTTAAACTGTGCCTTCGATTATCCAGAAGGAATACCCGTTTCATATGTTATCCAATGGCAAAAATTAGGAATTGACCTTCCAATTTATATCTGGTAACAATTGTGGACAATGGGAAAGACGCAATTTTATCTTCTTTCCTGCTCTTCTTGCTCTCCTCTCTCTCTCTGGATTTACGTGTATTTAGTCGACATTATTTGATTTGGATGCCAACCATTTCCGTTAAGCATTGTAAATAATGGTTCATTGTTTGATGTCCCTTTTAGCTATCGCTATTGTACACTGATTTAGACCTTGGATAGCTGTTTTATCAAAATGTATAATGCATGATTTACATTGAAAAACAACGGGACAACACATTAATGGTTTACTCATTGATTTGCCTTCACTTTTACCAAACCTTAACAATTTTTATCGGACATTTTCCATCAAACATTTGACCATCTTCAATGCTTAATATATGGTTGTACCCAAATCCAAAGCTGATCTAATCTAGAGTTATAAATGTTTACCATTGAAAAAACCAGAAAGAAGTGAAGCAGAAGAAAAATCAATATCATTTTGCTTGATTCCTATTAACAATGTATACGTTTAAAAAAACGTTAATACATAATGCATACTCTAATTGCCCTAAATTATTCAATATTTTATTGATTATCATCTTTACATGTGAAGATAAAATTGCCCTCTTTTCATTAACTCTACTTTTTACTAATTTTCACCTTTTTTCCATGTTAATCTTTTCAAGGTATGATGGTTATCCTCCTCACACTGGAACTGGTTATGAAGGTAGAGCTTCCCTTTCCGGTCAAGCATCGCTCAATTTAACTAAAGTTAATGAAGAAGACCAAGGCTGGTATGAGTGTAAAGTATTCTTCCTCAATCGACCCCCAACCTTACCCAAGAATGGTTCTTGGGTTCATCTTGATGTTCATGGTAAATTCATTTTTCATTCATCTTTTAATTACACATTGTTCATAATGATCAAGAGCATCATAATCAAGATGAAAATGATCAACCAAACACCATCATCAACATGATCATCATCAAAAAAACCTTATCATTACATTTGAACGTTATTATCATTTTGAAACAAAATAATGATTACAGAAGTGAAACAAGAAATAACGAGAAACGATCAATCAATCACATTGATTATATCACATCGATCAACTGTAAATTGACAAAAAGGGATTAACATTCAACTTGACCATGGGTCAGTTAGTTTCTTAATTCTTATTGAATAACAATAAGTTATTATTGTTATTCAGGTTCATCATGAGCCTCTTTTCTGGTCATTAAATGTTTATCACATTCTTATCCTTCTTCATGAAGCCGGCAAAATGAACGTGTTTTTGCAAATATTTTATAACTGAAGCTGCGCACTTTCAGCTTATCCTGAAGGGTAGACTGAATTGTTCAGTGAAAGTGAAGAGAGAAAGAGAGAGGAAAGAGTCCATTGGTATTTAACCAGAAAAACTAAGATGATAGAGATTCAGTGAGAAGATCAATCGTGACTGATTCTCTCCTGTGGGCAAAAGATGAAGAATGATGATGATGATAAATAACGATAAATAATGGCAACTAATAGAGACTAAAATGAATAATCTGACTTTCTTCACGACTCTGTTTTTCCTCTTTCTCCATCTTCCATCATCATTCCAATCTTCAATGATGATTGAACAATACAAATGATAAAATCTGAAAAAAGCAATCTCAAGTTTAATAATGATAATCAAGTTGTGAAAATGAAACTTGTTTTGGGTGATTTCATGTTCTTTCCTGTATTGCCTTTGAAAGGAAAACCAGAATTTTATCCTTTCACTTTTCATCTTAACTCTTCTTCTTTACATGATTCACTCACTCATTCTGGTAACCATGACACTATCTCCATCAACCTGTTATTATTGTACTAATATTTACCTACTTTTAGTGTCTTTACATTTGATTTTCAATGTAAGCAAAGCATGCAAAACAAGTCTAAACCTAAACCTTGCAACTTGTCAAAAATGTAGTTCTAAACCCAAAACAAAACTGATTCTGAAAATGAATATTGATTAGGGAAAAAATTGAACCTCAAAATTGATAATTGGAGTAAAAAAGGTAAAAATTCATCTCATTTGCAATTTCATTAGTATTACAAGAAAAAATTTTACATCAATTTTTAAACTCTTTTCACCATAAAAGACATTGAATACTAGAGTCAATATACGTTAATAGACTTTGCCACTATCATGATGATATTGCTGTTGATATTGAAGATATTGATGAGTAAAGTCATTCCAAAATTTCCATGACACTTTTCTCCATGTAAAATATTCTTCATCCTTTTATTTATTTATCAAATTAACATGAGAATATTAATCAATGTCAATTTTTTCTCTTCACATCAACTCGGTATTCAGATAATTTCAAAATACTTGAGAGTCAAATCGCTGCCAGTTTAAGCCTTAATAATTCCAAAGCTTTCAATTTGTTCTTTTTTTCTAAATTCTTAATATCAGAAAATTGAAACTGAGATTATCTTGAAGAGAAAAAAAAGAAGATGAAAAATATTCCAAAGTTACTAAACCAAAATTCTGGTCAAATTTGAACCCAAAACCAACTGCAAATGTAAATCTTGAAACCAATTGTGCAAAGATTACAAAAAAATGAATAATCATCAAAACAATCATTTTCATCATCATGTTTCAATCATTGAACATGAATTCAAAATCTTGATAGAATCTCGATCGAACTGAACATTTTACCAATCGAGTTGAAACAATAGCACTTTTCATCTCTGTAATTAATCAGTGTTCATGACTCTGCTTTATCTACTTTTCACAATTTCATCTAATCTCATCTTGAATATCATTTGCAAGTAAACATTTTCAAACATTATTACCTTTTGTCTTGCACAGAGTTGAGCATCTATTTCTAGTAACACAAACTTTAGACTTTTTTCCCTTCCATTTAAGGATAAATAGATGGTGATGATGATAATGAAGATGAAAGAAGATGAGGAAAGATGAGAAAAGTTGTTCCTTTTACAAAGACAACAGTCTTCGTCTCTGTCTACCTTTCCTTTCTTCCATTATAATTCACTCCTTTTTTTCTGCATCCATTCTTCTTCCCCTGGCTATTATCGATTTTCTCATCACCATCCGACATTCAATATCGAATCATCTTACATTTTTTTCTTCTCTCTTCATAAACTCTTAATGTTAACCCTAGTCACATTTACCCTGGTTCATGGTTTCTGGTCATCTTTTTACCATCATCATGACTTTGATTTTTTCTTCTTCTTCTTTTTCCAACGAACATAATTTGATTTTAAAATTAGTAGCAACAGCTCAGGTAAACTTTGCCTTGAAGTGAAACCTAAACTCATGTTCAGTGAGAAGAAAATTATTCAAACAATTATTATTCCAACTGGTTCTCTTCATGAGGAACAAGAAAAATCTTACCTTTCAGCTTTTGTCGTTTTTTATGTTTGCTTAAAGCTTTAATCGTAAACTCATCCTAAGTGGTCAGTTTCATTCCACTTTAAAGTGGCAACAATTATCAATTTTGATTCAGTTTCAACAGGATATAAGAAAGAGTCGACTGCATGCAAACTCGTTGCAATTATCATTTGTAAGAATGTTATTCAAAGAATCATGAAATGAATTTTTGCTTCTTAACAATTTAGGATTAAATGAGCAAAAAAGATTTCACTTTAAACTTCTTTACCAACCTTTTGAGTTAAACTTTCCCGCCTTCCCATGCTTCTTAAAATTATCTTTTTTCATTACCAGATTAGTTTCATTCATTTCACATGGATCCAGTTTCGCCTCATTCGTTTATTCAGGATAAAATCGATAAAATTATCACTTCTCTTTACTGGTGACTTGCTTATTCACTTGCCTTTTCCTGACTTTCATCTCTCTTCTCATCAGCTTTTCAATCTTGACTTTCATCTGGATTTCACCTTCTTCCTGTTTATTCCTAGTTTATTAGCGAATTTCTTGCCAGAATATTCAATTTCCAACTCATGGTGACATTAACCAACAATATTAATCAATTTGCAAAACCAAGTCAAAGTGGTTCAACAATCGACTATAAAATTGTAGCGATAAACCAAAAAACGAAACTCTTGACACTGTTCGTTGACACTTGAATTGTGCGCAATTGAAATGATTTGCTCATGCAAATGTCCATGAATTAGTCTATAATTTTGATGAAAATAGTCAAACTAGATAATTAGCCTTTTTCAGTTTCGTTTTGTTTCTGCTTCTGTTTTCAATTTTGACCATTGGGTTAATCTTGAATTTTCATCAACCTTCTCAATTACACAATTTGACATTTGAACTTTAATTTAAATTTCACAACCTGAAAGCTTTGGAAGAAGAAAAATTCATTTCAAAATTGTTAGGCATCAATGAATATCCATTTTGATTCAGTGAATTGAAATGGCTCCTGTGATTCAGAGCCATCAGAGATTACCGTTGAACTGTTTTACAGTTGATTTGATTTTCACAGTTTTCCCTCAAAATGCAAAATAAGGTGCAAAAAGGTTTCACTGATTGCCATCAAATTGCCATTCAAAATTTTATCCAATCAAAGTTTGATTACAATCATAAAAATTTCAACTCATCTCGTTCATTGGAAAAACTTTAAACTAAACTGATACTTCAGATTCTGCCCTTTTCTTACATGCAAGAACAATCTTCTCATGTGTCAAAGAATTGTGTTTCACTTATGATAATGAAGAAAAGTTTATGTTAATTGTTCATCTTTTGTACTTTCAGCCATTCGATGCAAAAAATTGAGCGTTTTTTGTCTCCAACTACAGCCACGCCAAAATGATGTTATTAGTTAACTCTTTCAGTTTCAGTTTGTTGCTATTGAACCGATGGCTTATCAGAGTTTATTAAACTGAATTATTGAACAAGCAAAGTACAAAAAAAATGATTAACTTTATGAAACACAAAATGGCAAAAATAAATTGAGTTTTAGATTGAATGAAATGACATCAGGAAAGAGATTGAAATTGACATGATTGAGTTAACGATTAAATATTAATCAGGAAAAGTTGATGATTACGGCAATTCAAGAGTTGAAATTTTATTTGCATTCAATTTGCAAGTTTTCCCAGTCGATGAGTTCGTTGTCTAAAAATTTATTAATCAATTGAAATGAAACTTTTATCAGTATCTGCTTTGATCATTTGCATCATTTCAATCATTTATAATCTTACTTGCTATTCCTCATGAATAATGAATCCAATCAGATAATGATTCTCGACTCTTGTGTCTTTCTGACCCATTTGCTGATTAATGTCTCCTCATTTGACCGGTAATAATGTTACCTTAAATAGTTCAAGTTTCAAGATTATCTTTCATTTGAAATTGTGCGATCAAGTTGACGAGAAAATAATCATTTAATCATATCATGATACAATTGAACATTCACTTTGAACTAAAATTGAACCAAATTTTGAAATATTTTTCACCTTCATATGAAAGTTGATTTGCTCTTGATTTTAAGTGATCAAAATGATTACCAATTAAATTGGTCATGGGAAAAAGTTGAGGTTATCAGAGTTGTTAAAGTGGTCAAACCAGAGTGACCAGAGCATCAAGCAGAGGTAAAAAATGTTGATCAATAGAAGCATTTACTCTGTGTGGTCATAAAATGAAAGTTAGTGTGTGATGGACGCTCACGTTGTAAGCCGAGTTGAGCTTAGCCCAAGCCATTAACAAGAGTAAATAGCTAGAGATATATTATAAAATGGATGGAGAATGGAATAAATAAGAAGAAGAGAAAAAAAAAGAATTTTGTTTTATTACTTTTTCTCTCAAAATTTTCATCTCATTTTACCTCATTTTTTTCCTCTTTTGTCTTCCTTCTTCTTCTTCTACTTTTTTCTCATCTTCATGTTCAACTTGAGGTTTCAGGGTTAAACCTATTTC